GAAGGCTGTCTTGATTAGATGACCTCCGTACACACCGTGACATCCATAATGTGAAGGAAGGCCTTCTACTCTGTCTATTCTGACTAACAAATTAACAATGCACATGATGTATAAAACAATAAACCTAACACAGATTTGTTCCAGTCTTATCCCTCTTAGAATCAAATTTTCTTTTTGCGTTTTTTTCAAACTGGATCTTGAACTTTTCTTAATTGTTTCCACATTTCACTGACCGGGGGACTTTAACTGGCTGGCTGCTCTCTTGTTTTCCCGCTGCACACATACACAGCAAGAATACCTCCTTTATTGTTGTAAATATACACAAAAATAACCAATAAAACACCAGAAGGATGTAGTAATCTGTGTATATAACCAGATTGAGCCACTGGCGTACATAATTTAAAGTAAGTCATATAACGTGACTGTGTCCCTTTAACCTAATTTAATCTGGACAGTTTAGCAACAGATCTGTTTTAGTTAAACGAAGCAATGCAGATCTTTAAAATCCTTATGTTTGAATTCAAATTGTTTTTGCCCGTTTTGACCCAGTTTGTTGACCTTCAGATGGTGTTTACAGTCCTGTAATAAAGCCGTCTATCAGTGTCTCTTCATGTGGACACAGGGTCCAGATTTTTATCAGCGACATCGGCTTTTATTCATCTACAGGCTTAGGTAGAAGGTTATGATCTGTAGGGATTCAGATTAGTTCTGATCAGTAGACTTTCTGAAGGTCTATCAGACTAATTTCAGAGAAACGTGTTTTTTGGGTCAGTGAGCCTTGTTTTATAAACTCTATTAGTATAAATCATACATTCCAGTCACAGATACCCTAAATATAGAGTTTATTATCAGTCTTTATTGTTACGTTTCAGATTTTTTGTATCCGATCAGACGGATCTGGTTTCCTGAAGGTGTTCAACCCGAGGCTGACATGAACTTTTAGCTGTTCGCTGGCTTTTCCACACTGTAGAACAACCACAGGCATCTGTATTACATCAGCACAGATGAGCCTAATTTGCAAAATATTTTAAAAAGAAAGATGCTAAAAACTTTTAGGGTGAATTGTTTGCCTTCAACAGCTTTGGATCTAGAAACTGAAAATGTTAACTCTTTGCAAAAGAGCAGAAGCTTAGTTAGAATTCGAGGAAAACGTGCAAGATCATCAGATCCAAAGATGAGAAGGTTTCAGCTCTGAACTTTGACTAGGCCGTTCTAAGAAATGAATCTGCTCTGATCCAAACCGACGTTCAGGCTGGTTTTCCTGCTCCACCCTTGTCTCCAGTCTTCTTCAGCCTCTAACAGGTTGT